GGTAAAAGTAAATTACTCTTCTGAAAATGTGTCCTGTGCTTTTAGACTTTAAGTTCCATAAATACAACAGATAGTCTTCATTTTCTTAGAGACCCAGTATCATTTCTAAAAACGAGAAATGTTCTTTTTTTCTGCTAATGATGCTGTAAGAAGGAAAAGAAAGTTTTCTGCTTAAAAATATATAGTTATTGGATATTTCTAGCTATATTAAAAATAAAATATGGTTTCAAACTGGATATTGACTCCCCACTACCTTTTGTGAGCACATCTTTTATTTCTGTTGGTCATTGAAGTTATTTACCGGGCATAATAAGGTATAGGTCATTAAATGCTACTAACAAAAACTTTTAAAATTTTACCAAAGTTGTGCAGAGGTGTACATACTTTCTGGTGGCTGCCCAGATCAGATCTGCAGCTTTGTACCTGGCAGGTAGCTTCTGTTTGTAGTCTAAAAGGATTTCCTTGGTGATCATCTAACACCCTGAGGAAATAGGGAGAGGTGGTCAGAGAAACTTACACTGAGATGCTGGAGTTAATATAAGGAATTAGCATCATGTTTCTTCTCRTATCATTGATTGTGTGTTTTTTGTTTGTTTAGGCCATAATTAACTGTTCAGAAAGATGGTACATACACAGTCTATAGCTGTGTGGTTGTGTGGCCAACAACAAAAAATTACAGAAGATATGAACAAGATTTGGCGCCGACTTTCCTTTTGCCACACTGAGAAAYACTAGCTTAGGGTAAAACAGAAGCAGTATCCATTTTAGAATTTGCTAACATCTAAAATTAATCCATGTGAATTGTAATCCATTTGCACATATTGGCTCAGCTCTGATACTGCACATACTATTTTGTAGAAGGAAAGCACTTAATTGCCCAGGATAATACCCATGCTTGCTTGTGGAGTTGGGATTCTCAAATACCCAGTCTTCAGAGGTGTTCCTTTTAGATTCTCTACTTTGTTGACCCAATGTACAAAGTTAATTTTGTAATATATATTTTTTAGTTGATGATGGACCTTTATTTTTATTTTATTTATATGCGGTGATTCAACCAAGTGCCTTATACAAGCTAGGCAAGTGCTTTTCCACTGATCCACAACCCCAGCTGTGCAGTTAATCATATATATGAATTATATAACATATTTAGTTATAAATGGACATAACACCTTTATTTTGTTCATTGATTTGTATTTGGTGCTGAGGAATGAACCCAGTGCCTCACGTGTGCTAGGCTAGTGGCTCTACCACTGAGCCACAACCCTAGCGCCCAAATTCCTAATTGTTAATTATCTCAAGAAATTGCAAACCAAGCCAGGCATGGTGGTACATAACCTATATTCCCAGTAACCATATGCTGAAGCAGGAGGAGCTCAAGTTGAAGGCCGGCCTCAGCAACTTTGCTAAAGCCTGTCAGTGGTAGAGGGCCTCTAGGTTCAATCCCAGTACCTGATATACAGAAAGAATGAACTTTGTTAAAAGAATATCACACTTCATATGTACTGATGTGTACATCCAATAGGACATTTTCCCAGTAGTAAGTGATCCTGGTATATTAAGTGCTTAGTTCACTCATAACTGGCTCAAAAATAAATTTTAAAACTATAGTAATTCCAAGAAGTTAATTGTGTGCCAGTATTTACAACTAATATAGTGTACTTAATAGAGCTTGTGCTTGGGGAGGGAAGTATTCTAAATAGCCAGGTGCAGTGGTGCAGGCCTATAATTCTTACTCCTCTGGAAACTGAAATGAGTCTTCAGATTTGAGGCCAGCCTGAGCAACTTAGCAGAATACTGTCTCAATAAAAAGCTGGAAAAGTAAGTTTTGTAACCCCTAGTACCAACCACAAAAAATAAATAAGCAGTAAATAACAGGTAATGAACAATAGCTATAAACTTCAAGAATAAGGATAATCAATATGGCAGAAGTTTTTGGGCAATTATTCAATGAGACCCCCCTGTACAATGCTAGTGGAAGCAAATATTTATGATTTTTCTGTTAGATAGTTGAACAAAAATTCTTGACATTTAGTGGTTTATTGCCTTTAAAATTATGATTTTAAGTATTAGCCAAAAAAGGAAGGTGGTAAATAGAGTCAATATAACCATGCTGATGATGCTGGGCATCTGATAAATAGTTAATTCATGTTACTAGAGTATTTGCAGTTTTCAGTGTAAGTAGCCTGACCACAGGCCAATGTAGAAGCAACATAAGAAGTGGCTTTATCTCTACCGATGGTATAGGTGTAAACAGGAAGAGTTCAGGTTTTTAACACCCAGTATAAGTAGTGTCAAGGGGTTTGATGTTTATTTAACTTGGTTATCTTAAAAAGAATAGTATTATTTTTGTAACTCGGCCATCTTTTGAAAATATTCTGGATACTAACAATGCTCAGAATAAGGAAGGAAATTTTTTAAAAATCAGAAACATCACAACTTCAGAGAAAATTCTATTTAATTTGTAGAGCAATGGAATTCCATTTTTTCCTCTTCTTTGGTACCGAGGATTGAACTCAGGGTCACTGGAACCCCAGTGTGCTGGAACCTGTGCTGTGTATGATGAACGTGTGCACCTGGCCCTGAGAGCTCAGCACATGGACACATTTGGTCAAGGAAAAAACTTTCAGTATATGCTGCCCCGCCTCAGATTCCTTTTCTGCCTCATTCTCCTGAGCACTCATCACAGTCGTTTTTGTTTTTTGGAGATTGAACTCGGGGACATTCAACCACTGAGCCACATCCCCAGCCCTATATTATATTTTTATTTAGAGTCAGAGTCTCAGTGAGTTGATTAGCGTCTTGCTTTTTGCTGAGGCTGGCTTTGAACTCACAATCCTCCTGCCTCAGCTTCCAGAGTCTGGGATTTCTGTTTGTTGTGTATTCTGATTATATGACAATGATTCTGATTTGAGCTCCCCACCACTGCCCTTTTTGCTTTTTAGATGGAAACTTGCTAGGTTACTTAGGCTGGTTTTGAAAACTCAGTCCTTCCACCTCAGCTCCCTTACATGGGATTATAAGTGTGTGCCATCACTCTCAGTTTGACAAATGATATTGAACTTTATTATTTATTTATTTTGTACAGGCACTGAGCTACACCCTCAGCCCTTTTTTGTATTTTATTTAGAGACAGGGTCTTGCTGAGTTGCTTAGGACCTCACTGAGTTGCTGAGACTGGCTTTGAACTTGGAATTCTCCTGTCTCAGCCTGCCTCAAAAAGGACTGGGGATACAGTTCAGAAGTAGAGAACCCCTCGATTCAATCCCCAGTATGGCGATAAGAATACATTATATGTTCAGATTCTGGTTTCTACATTTC